GAATTCTCAATTATTAATATTTAATAATATTAATACATTAATTATTATTTTTATATAAAAAAAAAAAATCTGTTAACCGAATCCCCTCGTTTCATTTTCCTTTTTTTTTTTTGCTTGTCAAAATTAATTCTTTAAAACTTTTTTATTTTAAAAAATAAATAAAATTTCAAATGATGCATGTGTAGTTATTTAAATATTTTTAATGTTTTAAAAAATAGACTTTTTTTTTTTATAAGGGAGATATTTATTAGTTGGGCTAAAAATCCTAAAATGTGCCGTGATAATAATTAGGTAACAATATTGAATAACAATGCCTTGATGTTCAAATTTGAAAAAAATATGTATAATAACACTTACTAACAATCACTTATATAAGGGTGACTTTCATGTTTATTGGTTAAATATCTAAATATAAAAAGCTTTTTCACTCATTAATGAAGGTTTAAATTTGTGTAATTCTTTTATTTATTTATTTTTTCTCATAGGTTGAATCACTTATTTTATCATATATAAAAAAATTACTTACATAGTAATTAAAATCCATTAAATATATATATCAAATAATCAATTCACTTATTTCATTCATGGTACTTTTTGTAAGATTTTGCTATCATAAAATTTTTCAACTTGTAATTTAATTCTTAAGTGCATATTCCAGCCCATCAATGTAAAATTTGAATCTCTTTTTCTTTTTCAAAAAGAAAAAAAAAAAGATGAATGCCAACCGGGCCTGTGACCCAATTGGTTGACCCCCAAACTTTAGGGTTTGGATGAGGCGGAGGTCAGGGTTTCAAGCTCTGCCACCGCCGTGAACTCCACCAACTTGCGACCTAATGGTCGTACGCCTCAAATGAGGGGGTGGAACGTTCACTTTTCTGAAAAAATTTCAGCTGCTAACAAACTAACTCTACTAACTTCCTAACCATCTAACTGGTAAAAAAAAAAAAAATGAATGGTTTTCTTTTTAATTTATGATTTTCACGTTTGCTGAATAAAAAAGGTGTAGGAATGACTAAGAAATCCCAACTGTTATTTTTACTACCACACAAGTGTCTTTTTGTAGGTAGGATTTAAGTTTTAAAGATAATACTTAGTAAAATTAGTTTTTCTTTTTTAATGTATAGCATGATATAATATGTAAAATGTACTCTTAAAATTACTTGAGGTAATATTAATTTTAAAATATATGAAAGTTAATTTTAATATACAAACTATAAATATAAAAGAAAGTAATGTTTATAAAAAGATTTAAATAATGTGATTAATGAATCCAAATGTATGAGTGATTTATGAACAGCAGTTTTTGGTGTAATAATTCATCCATAAATCTTAATATTTGAATTTAATTAATTGAAAATAAAACTTTTATTAAGTACTTGAAAAGTTTTTCCATCCTTATTATTCTCTGCGTTAAAAAAAATAGTATGAGTGATTTATATTAAAACAATTTGATTAAAACAATTTGATAAATATTTCTGTACTTTTTATGAATAAATTTAAAAAATATATTTTAAATTTTATTTAAAATATTTTTTTGTATTAATTTTTCGATATCCAGTAATCATATTAAATCATAATTAATTTAGAATTAAATTGAATCAAATCCCATTAAGGGAAGCTTTTTCCAAATGTTTGTTTCTCTATTCATAAGATTCAAATTTAAAATTTTATTTAAACGAAACCGATTTTTTTTTTACTTTGATAAAAAAATAGTTGATAAATTTTATTAAAAATATTTAAGCCTTACAAAATGGGAAAGCTTTACAAAATTTTTAAATTGTTACATTTTTAATTTTTAAAAATGATTATGTAAAAATTTTATTTTTACTTTAATAAAAATTTAAAAAATTACGTTAATTTAAAAACTAAAATTTTTAAACATTTAAATTTAAAAA